CTCAGTCGTTAGACATCTGAATTGTTTCCAGGATCTAGCTATAACAAATTGAGGTGCTATAAACATGGGTGCACATATATTGCTGTGGTATGAGGTTTTCAGTTCTTCTGAAAAAGTATCCAGGTGGAGGAGGCCGGGGAGATGGCTCAGTGGAATAAGCACTTCTCTGGCAAGTGCAAAGGCCTGAGATGAGTTCCACAAAAAAAAAAAAAAAAAAAAAAAAAAAAAGAACATGCCAGTAAGTTAGGGGATACAGGTGAATGTCCATTTTGTATCTGTGTATTCAAAGTGGTTAGGATAGATATATAGTTACATTCTCTTAATGAATAGAGGGATTTGTTCTAATGGTGTTTGTAAATAGGATATCAAATCCGCATCTTGTACAGCAATTAACCACTAGGAAGAATGTATGCAATGTGTTAATTATTGAAACTGTCCTGCCAATTTGGTTTGAAACTGTCTCATTGCTATTTGTTTCTCAATAAAATTATGGAAAGGAAAAAATAGCCAGGTGGGAAATAGCTGGTTTGAATGGGACCTTCAATCTAGCTTTTTAAGGATTTTATCTTTTTAAAAAAAAATGCTAACTGCCATTACATTATGTGTATGTAGCAAGTTTTCTTTACCCATTCATCAGTTGATGGACACTTAAGTTGATTCCATTTCTTGGCTATTTCAGTAAACCTAGGGGAAAGATAACTCTTCAACATGTGAATTTATTTCCTCTGGTTATAAACCTAGTAGTGAGATTGCTGAATCATATGGTAGTCCTATTTTTAATTTTTTGAGGAATTTTCATATTTTTCCACCTGACAGTTGTCCTAATTTATATCCCCATCAGAAATGTGCAGAGGGTCCCTATTTGCAACATCCTTGTCAGCCCTTGTTATCTTTTGCCTTTTTTTTTTCTTTTTGCAGTACCAGGAATTGAACTCAGGACCTTGCACTTGCCAGACGAGCACTTATTCTACTGAGCTATCTCCCCAGCCCTCTTTTGCCTTTTTGATGATAGCTATTCTAAACTGGAGCAATGTGATAGCTTATTGTGGTTTTATTTGTAAATCCATAATGATTAGGAATGTTTCATTTTTTGAAAATATAGCTGTTGGACATGTCTTCTTTTAATGAATGTCTATTTAGATCTGTTGCTCATTTTGAAATCACATTCTCTTTTGCTGTTGAGTTGTTTGAGATCCCCTGTATTCTCTACATTAACCCTTTGTCCGATATGAACTTTATAAATATTTTCTTTCATTCTATATGTTATGTTCAATATGTTTATTTTTTTTGTTGTAAAAAAGCTTTTCATTTGATGTAATCCACTTGCCTATGTGTGCTTTTATTTTCTATAGTTTTAGAGTTTTGTCCAAAAAACTTATCCATTCAAAAATTCTGGAGCATCTCCTCTATGATTTCTTCAGTCATTTCCTAATTTCAGGTGTTACATTTTAGTATTTGATCCACTTTGAATTGTTTTTTAATGTGGTTAATGAGAGATAGGAGTCTAGTTTCATTCTTCTGCATGTGGATATCCAATTTTATTAGTATTATTTATTGAAAAGACTGTCCTATTTCCAATTTGTATTCTTTACACATTTGTTAAATATCAATTTGGTGTAGATTTCTAGATCTGTTTTTGAGCTATTTTGTTTTACTGGTCTATATTTCTATTTTTATGGTAACATCATGTTTTTTTTTTTCATCATGTTGTTTTGATTAATACAGTTTTGTACCATATTTTGAAAACCAGTAGTGTGATTCTTCTGCCTTTGCTCTTTGTGTTCAATATGGTTTTGACTGTTCAGAGTTTTATTTTAGCACTGGGAATAAAACCCAGAACCCTGAGCTTGCCAGGCAGGTACTATGCCACTGAGTTATATCCCCAGCTCTTTTCAGAGTTCTTTTTGTGGTACTACAGGAATTTTTAGAATTGAACTTTCTAGCTCTGTAAAGAATGTCATTAGAATTTTGATAGGTATTACATTGAGTCTATTGGCTAAATTATTATATGAGCGGGAGGTTCTGAGAGAGTGCACATGGGATTGGATCAAGGTGCTGTATCAAGGGAAGTGTTAAATGAAGTGAGCTGTATAGCTTTGTCTATATTGTAACAATAAGAACTTAATATACTGGCAACACCCCAGGAACTGGTGGTAATGTGCTGCCAGGATGGCTTTTGGAAACTTGGCAAAAAGTAACAACACTAAGTGAAGAAGACATAAAAACCCACTGTGGCAGACTTCATGGAAGAGATTCAAGGGCTTAGAGAATAGGGTAGATATACTGTGTAACAGGCTGGAAAAAGTTGACTTATGCTCTGTGGTAGGGCCAAGAGGACATTCTATTTACCAAGGTGACAGGAATATAGTGAGGGGAGAACTGGCATGGAGGAGAAGCCCAGTGGGCCAGAATGATGTTAACAGAAAGCATTTCAACATCAGAATTCTTCATGGCAATGAGGAAATGATGAAATTCCAAATACTAGCAGCCAGATGCCAGTACTTTACCAGAAATGGTAAGGAGAGGCAAAGCCCGACTAGCACAATAGATCACACCTACATGTTACTAAATGGCTTAAAGTTCTTAGAGAGATGATTAAAGGCCACAGTCTGCCTCACAAGACAAATTAGCTTTGCTTAATATGTATATAATCAAAGTAAATCAAAGATGATTGAGAGATTTGGAACAACTGTTCCAATAAAATTGATTATTGACCATTTTCCAGACCTAAACTGAGTCCCATTGCCAAACCCCACTGACTGAAGGAAAGGCTGGGTCACTGTGAAGAAAGACCTTGCCACTCTGGAGCAATATATAGTACTCAATAGTGATTACCCAGAACATTTCCCAAATGGCTTATGCTCATTTACTTAGGTAACCATTCCCTGGGAAAAACACTCAGACTTTTTTAGAAATCTGAAGCTTTTCATAGTGTCTGAACTAACATTGGTACCCACGGAATGGCATCCAAAGTGCCACAAAGGCTCCTTTTCTGGGGGTGATATGAAGCTCTTATAACAACTGGAGTCCTGGTCTAGAAGCAGCTCACAGTGGCTCCCTTGGACCTGAAGGTCGTCTTCCTAGGCTTCAAATGTATTATTGGAGTAGACTTGTTTGATAGTTTCCAGAACCTTCACATTGAATCTTTTTTTTTTTTCAAAGTATTAATTATTTTTATTTTTATTTTTTTCCCATAATTTTATTGATAAACAAATAGCAATGAGACAGTTTCAAATCAAATTGGTAGGACAGTTTCAATAATTAAC